GAGGGTTAGGGGGGGTTGGAACCGTCATTTTTACAAACGGAGCACCGTAGGTACCCCAAACGAACTGGTGTATAAGTAACTGGTGTCATTTTAGACGTTCCCTTTTTTAAATATGTAAGTTTGATTTTATATTTAAATACCAATCTTTAAATAAAATAAATTGAAAAAATTAAGATTTTACTTCATTTTGTGCAAAAGCTAAATGATTTACGGACGGAGGGAGTATTAAACACCGATTTTTATTGTTTTCTCGATCTCTTTTTCCTCACAAAAGAAATGAAAAGTAAATTAAAGTATAATTTTAGATTGCATTTTTTATCTTTACCTCTCTTCCCAATTTTTTAACTATGATTTCAAATCAAAAGCCAAAACCATCTTTTCTTATATTACTACGGAGTGTTTTTTTCTTTTGCTTTTCAATTTCTTAAACCACTCTTAGGTCCCATTTGGTACACAGAATTCAAACTTTGGAATTGGAATTGAGGACTTCAATTCCAATTCTCCTGTTTGGTAGCACAAAAATTATGTGGATTTGGAATTGATAGTGCAAAAAATGATTTGGAATTGGTGAATTCAATTCCATGGAATTGAATCCCATGGAATTTTAATTCCAATTCAATTCCAATTCCATCAATTCCGTGTACCAAACGGACCCTTAAAGTTTTTTTTAATAGCTCTCATTGTAGAGGTGTACGTACCTCGAATTCTAGATGTAATTAAAGAAGCTTGTGATAACTCATAAATAATTATTTATTTGCTCCAAAATTTATTAGCATTATGTGCTCCTTTTCACTTTTGCATATTTAAATATGTTTACCATAAGAGCTCGTTTGGTACACAGAATTCAAACTATGGAATTAGAATTGAGGACTTCAATTCCAGTTCTGGTGTTTGGTAGCACAAAAATTATGTGGATTTGGAATTGATAGTGAAAAAAATGAATTAAAATTGGCAGAATTCAATTCTATGGAATTGAATCCCATGGAATTTCAATTCCTATTCAATTCCAATTACATTAATTCCGTATACCAAACGGACCCTAAGAATCTGTTTGATACACGAAATTAGAATTGAATTAAAAATTAAAATTGTATGGAATTTATTTGGATGAATTGAATTCTACAATTCCAATTTCATAATTTGAATACCGTGTACCAAACAGAACTTAAAAGTAATTAAAATAAATACCAAGTAATTAAAGATTTAACTTGAAGTCTTCAACCACCACAGCACCATGAGGTCTTTATATCCCATTCTAGAGGGAAATGCCACCTTCAATTCATTCCTTTAAAGGCCAAGACCTTAATTAGATTAAAGAGGAGGATAGATGTCAATATCAATTGTTTATTTAGGCCCCGTTTGGTACATGGAATTCAAACTATTGAATTGGAATTGGGGACTTCAATTCCAATTCTAGTGTTTGGTAGCACAAATATTATGTAGATTTGGAATTGATAGTGCAAAAAATGAATTGAAATTGACAGAATTCAATTCTATGGAATTGAATCACATGGAATTAAAATTCCAATTCAATTCCAATTCCACCAATTCCTTATACCAAACGGACCCTTATAGTATTTGTGTGGGTAGCAACAATCATAAATTAAAGTTATTTATGTAAATCTTTATTACATACGGTATATAGCAGACAATCAAATACTCCCTTTGTC